AGGGAATCAACACAAACATATCGATTCCAAACAAACACAACGTTTACAACAATCTCACATATTGTTGCTACTCTTGCTGCCGCTACAGAAGCAGTAACAAGAGCTGCATTTGCGTTTGGCTGAATGTTAGTCAAACGCAGGGCACCTCAATCGAATGAAATGTTTCCTTGGGGTAAAGGCGAGCGACTACGACATTTTGGTTGCGTCTTGAAAAGCACTTTGTAGATCTGCCTCTGCTCAACAAGAGGCGCGGGCAGGTTTGTTAACTTCGTACAAGGAGGTTTGTACACGGATGGTTTCACAGGAAAACCGCCACTGTGTGTTGGAACCGCTCTGTATTCCTGAACTCACCAGAGCGCCACTTTGTACCGAGTTCACAGTCTGTTTTAACGTTGAGCGCGTTAGACGAGTGCTGCCGGTATAAACTGGAGGACTCCTTCTGTTCAGCAATGCGTTGTGCTCGGGCTTGTCTGCTCTGTGTTTTCCGCAGAAAGAATTCACTTAGGGATCAGGGTATGGGGAGGCGATGCCAAGATGTTCTTATATGTGGTGCCTAACGCGTGTAAATACAGGTTATTAGCAAACACTAGGTGTAACTGGGACTGATCGCTACACTTGGCGAATGTCATATATGGAGAGGAATAAACTTGAGCTTGCAAAGGTGTACAAATGCGGCCTGCCTTGGCCTTCGGGGTGACCGGTGACATTGTAATCACCTGCGATGGACAGTCTTCACAAGGACTCTCAAGATTCTGGACTTGCACATCCAGAAGAGCCGTAGAAATAATCATTCCTCGCATCTGGAGAGGGGGCGGGGTTGCTGGAGAGAGCTACGGGTGGGGAATCCTCAAACAGGCAAGAGTCAGCAGAGTTGTTGGGTTTTTTTGTTGTTCGTTCTCCTTTCTATCAGAAACAGCGCAGAAAGGGTCACCGCTCAGGTAAACAAGCAATGGAAGGGAAAGCAAATGCGCAGACGCGAACTTTTTTTTGTCCCACCAGAGGTGGATCCACAAACACGCAGCGCAATTCGAGAGCGGTTTATCCAAATTAAACACGCCGGAAAATACAAGTCATACAAGTCTGGCTCGCTCTGGCATTACGAAAGGGCCATGCTCACGACGGCGAACAGCAGGTGTCAGTTGTTTTAACCGTTGCGTGTTATGCAAATACAGTCTTTGACAGGATGGTTGGTATTGACGTGAGCCAGTATTATTTACCTAAGGTTTGATTGAGTAAATCTGAGTTTTGACTCACTGCTGCCCTGCCTGCGCCGCTGAAGTCAAACGACAAGTTGCCACAAGGTGCCAACGCGAGTCCTCGTAGCTGCCTTGGCAAGACAGTTGTTTTCCCTGTCTGTCGGGAAGTATCGTCCATCTCCGCGCCGGAGAGGCGAGGTTACGGCGAACGCCCGCCAGTCAAACGGAATAAAGACGGTTTCGTTTTTTACTTTCGTCACTTTTCCCAAATTGTCGCTGCTTTCCCTAAAAACTCCCCATTTTGCTGACGGCGGGTTGCTTAAACCGTAAAAC